ATCCAGAGCAAAGAAGAATGAAGAAATCCAAAATTCATGGAAACAATTAGTCCTAGCGACTGGCACACCATCCGATCTGCAGCCTATACGACTATGAGACCAGAAGAACTAGATGGTGCCCGACTACCACTGACATCCACTTGGAAAGGGATCTACATAGCAGATCCTTGATAGAGAGGGAGAACAATGTGGAACAAAACTCAAAATCATTTGGAGAAAAAATAAGGGGGGGGCCAGGTTTGCTGGTCCAATGGAGCCTGGTGGAACCACTGAGACTATGGCCCCAAGCTGCCCTTCAGGTCTGGAATTTAACCCACACCTGTGGTTTCCAGCCAAACAGAAGACAGGCATATGAGTTGAACATTTACCTCAAGTAGATATACTCCTTGGAGAGAACAATCATTGAGAAAGAAGGGCTGCCTATGCACAGGGAAACAGCTTAGGGGGCAGGAGTCCATGGAAGGATGGACAGTGGGAAGAGGTAACTATGGGGAGGAAGTAGAAGGGGAGCTGCTGCATTGTGGTAAATTGTGGTCAATGTCATGAGACAAAGTATATTTAAACTGCTGTATGGAAAGTGAATTTGCTCTGTAATCTTCACCCAAGTCACAATAAAAAAATAAAATAAAAAAAGATCAAGAACAAGACATGGATGCCCACCTACCAATGCTATTCAATATTGCACTGAAAAGTCCTAGCCAAACAATCTGACAAGAAAAAGCAACAGAAGGGATCCAAATAAGGAAGCAAGACATAAAACTATTCTTAGGGATGATGTATGATCCAGCATTTGAAAAAAATCCCAAGGAATACATAAGGAAGCTAGTGGCGCTAATAAATGAAATCAGCAAAGTAGCAGAGTACAAAGTCAATACACAAAACTCTGCTGGTTTTCTATATAACAGCAATAAACAATCAGAAAATAAAATTAAGAAAACAATTCCATTTATAATATCATCTAAAAGAATATCGAGTAACAAATTTCACCAGGCAGGTGACAGACCTGTTAACTGAAAACTTAGTTGAAAAGCAGCCATCTGAGGTACAGTTGGTTTCCATCACCAGGAGAACCAGAGGACAGTCAAGAATCAGATAAGGAAATGGAATACATTCCTTTACTATGAGACCAGAAGAAATGGATGATAGCCCACTACCATTACTAAATGTTTTGATCAAAGATCCCATAGACTAGGAGCTCTGGTAGCATAGTGCCTAAGGCACTTGCCTGGTAACCAGAAGGCTGGCGGTTCAAACCCACCAGCCACTCCTCGGAAGGAAGGCTGGGCAATCTACTTCCGTAGTGATACCACCTCGAAAACCCAAGGAAGGGTCGCTATGAGTCGGGTCCGACTCGATGGCACATAACAACAACAACAACAACAAAAAGTGAGGAAAATATAGAGCAGAATTTAAAGTTCTCAATGGAATCCAGACTTTCTCGAGCCACTGAGACTGGAAGAACCCCCAAACTATTACTCTAATTTTAAAATGTTAAACCCTAAATCAAAATTATCCCCTTAAGTCCTCTTTAAACCAAACAATAATTTAGCTTAATTAGTAAAGTATATCTGTCTTGAGGATTGGACTCCTCTTTAAAGAATTATCTCTGTGTGATCAAATCAACAACAGCAACTCAAAAGTTTAGATGAGAAGCTTAGCAGCAGTCTGTTTAAGTTAATGGTGGTAAAATAATTTGGAAAAGGGCTGTGAGAATCACTGCATAATCTGAAGAATGTAATATCTCTGAATTGTACATGTAGAAACTGTTGAAAACATGTATCTTTTGCTATCTATATTTTCATACAACACAAACCATAAACTTTGTAAAATTAGACAGAAATAAAATATATACAAGACTCCATTTATATGAAAATTTAAAAAGTGGTCAAATTGCTTATAATGTGAATTATGCATAATGTAAAAAAAAAAAAAAAAAAAGGCAGAGTTTCAATTGCCTCTGGCCAGGAGAAGACTATTGACTACAAACAGACAAAAAGAGAGAATTTTTGTGAAGGATAATAGTGCTCTATATCTTGACTGTTTTGTGGTTACCCGGTACATATACCTATCAGAATTCACTATTCTGTGCCCCTAAAATTGAATCTTTTAATGTAATTATATTTCAATAAAATTGATTTGAAATAAATTTAGGTTAAAAAAAAAAGAAAGAAAACTTTGTTGAAAGAAACTAAAGACCTAAATAACGAAAGGACATTCCATGTTCATGAACTGGAAGACTTAATGCTGTTAAGATGTAAATACTGCCAAAAGCAATATATAGAGTCAACATAATCCTTATCAAAATTTCAACAGCCTTCTTGGAAGAATTGGAAAAACCAACTTTCAAATGTATATAGAACTGCAAGGGACCAAACTCAAAAACTCACTCCCATCAAGTTGGTCCCAACTCATAGTGACCTCTCCTTGGGTTTCCTAGGCAGTATCTCTATGGAAGTAGATTGTCCAGTCTTCCTTCTGAGGAGTGGCTGGTGGCTTTGAACCACCAGCCTTCTGGTTAGCAGTCAAATGCCTTAGACACTACGCCACAAGAGTTCCTACATAACCAAAACAATCTTCAAAAAGAAGAATAAAGTAGAAGGACTCACACATCCAATTTCAAAACATACTATTAAGCTACAGTAATCAAAACAATCTGGTACTTATACAATGATAGGCCAATGGAATAGAATTGAACGTCAAGAAATAAATCCACACATCTATGGTTAAGTGATTTTCGACAAGGGTGCTAAATATATTCAATGGGGAAAGAATAGTTTAATAAATGTGCTATAAAACTGAATTTCCACAAGTGAAAAGTTAAGCCAGACCAATACCTTATATCATATATAAAAATTTACTTAAAATGAAGCAATGACTGAAATATAAGAAATAAAACTATGAAACAATGAGAACAAAACCTAGGAGTGATGATTTGGGATCTAGTTTTTGATAATCGATTCTTAGATATGACACCAAAACACAAATAACAAACGACAAAATAGATAAACTGGACTTTATCAAAAATTTTAAACATTTGTGAAAATTTAAAGAAAGAACATTATTAACAAAGTGAAGAGACAATGTACAGAATGGGAGAAGATAACTGGGAACCATACATCTGATAATATTTTAATATCCAGAATATTTATAAAGAATTCCTACAACTCAACAACACAAGGACAACCCAATCAAAAATGGGCAAAAGACTTTAATAAACATTTTGCTAAAGAAGATACACTAATGGCAAATAAGCACATAAAAACATGCTCAATGTCATTAGTCATCAGAGAAAAGCATATCAAAACCACAATGAGATACCACTTCTTCATCCCTCTAAGGCGGCTGCTGGCAGAAACAAAAAAACAAAAAACCTTACAGAAAGTGTTGGTAGGGATGTGGAGATGTTAGAGCTCTCATCTATTTTTGTTGGGACTGTAAAATGGTAAAGGCAATGTGGAAAACAGTTTGGTGGGTTTTCAAAAAGGTAAAATATAGAATTACCATACGACTTGGTAATTCCATTCCTAGGTATATACACAAAAGAACTGAAAGCAGGAACTCAAACAAATACTTATACACTAATGTTCACTACAGCACTATTCACAACAGCCAGAAGATGGAAAGAACTCAAGTGACCATCAACAGATGACTGTGTAAACAAAATATAGTATATCCATACAATGGAATATTATTCAGCTATAAAGAGAAATGAAATTCTGAAACCTACTACAACATGGATGAACCTCGAAATATTATGCAAAGTAAAATAGTCAGACACAGAAAGATAAATATTGTATGATTCCACTTATAAAAAGTATCTGAACAGGCAAATGCACAGAAACCAAAGTTTATTAGTGTTACCAGGGACAGGTGGGAGTGGGGAAAATGCTATTGTTTCTTAAGGGACACTAAGTTTCTGTTAAAGGAGATGAAAAAATGTGGAAATGGACAGTGGTGATGGCTGCACAAACGATGAACATAAGTGATGATGTAATACATGTCATAATTAATGCACATGTAAAAAATGTTAAATGGCAGATGTTTTGTTCTATACATTTTTACCACATTTTAAAAAAAAGGAATAAAGTACTGATACAAAGATAAACTTTTAAAACATGCTAAATGAAATAAACCAGATACAAAAGCCCAAAAAATATAATAAATATAAAAAATTAGAATTGAAATATAAACGGACATACTTCCAGGTTTAACATCTGGTTGTTCACTAATACTTGTTTCCGTCCAACCCCACAGCCAGTCTAACCATCCTGTACGATTTGCTGCATCTGTTGCCCCTTCTTTGTAAATCTTGTATCCAGCTTTCTTTACCTAGGATCAGTGAAGTTTCAAATATATGACAAATTATCCTTTACTTAGAAATTTAAAGAACCAAGAACATGGTATTTCCAAAACCTACCTGACTGAATAAACACAAACAATATGCATTTATTCACAGAACATAGTACTGTGACATGAGCTAAAAAAAACAAAGACTTTAAGAATACCATATAGTTCTCCTCACTTTTAACAAGAGCCAAAGATCAACAAATTAAATGTAAAAAAAAGGCTTTTCCCCTTCACATGACCTCTGGACATTTGATAAACTCCATCCCATTATTTAGTTAGAATTTTTTCCCATAAAAACCTGTCTGATTTAAAGGGATATGGAAAACATTATATCAAATATTTTTTATAACATATAGAAGCAAATTTGAATCCTTTTTAGGAAACAGAGTATTGCAATACAATTCTAATGACATCACATTTTCTTCTATCCATATGGAATTTAGATTTAATTTTACAAATTGAAAGATAATCTGGAATTACCTCAACTTCTGCCTGCTGTCTTGTTAAAGTTAGATTAAATATATCCAGAATCTTTTCCAATTCCTGAAAATATTTAAAAAGAAACTGTTTTAACTTCACATAAATAACTTTAATATACAATCCATCAAATTACTACACTAAAGAAAAGATACGATAGAAAACTGAATGCTCATCAATATAATGTATTTGTTACATTCTGTGAAGCAATGTGTGTGTGTGTGTGTATACACACACATATATATATACAATCAGCTTGAAAATTAGTAATGCTAGAGTAACTTTTTGAACAAAGAAATCATGTATGTCATGCATATAAAATTACAAACTCTACAAGATAATGTAACACATACTAAAAGATACCCTACATGTACTGCCTTTCATTTGGGTTTTAACTACAGTTAAGGGTAAATATATTAGGGCTATGGTCAGCTAGTGCCTAAGGCACTTGACTGCTAATCAGAAGGACTGGCGTTCAAACCACCAGCCACTCCTCAGAAGGAAGGTTGGGCAATCTACTTCCTAGTGATACCGCCTCGGAAACCCAAGGAGGGGTCGCTATGAGTCAGGTCTGCCTCGACGGCATATAACAACCACAACAACATATATTTAAATGATTAATTTCAAGAGTTTATGCTCAAATTACTTTTTCCTCCCAAGAGAGGAAACTATGGTCTACCATTATCTAAACAACTTAACCCAGGGCTTTATATCCAGCAGACACGGAAGATCTGGGTTCAGATCCAAAAGAAAGTAAGGAATAAGTATCCACTCCAAAAACCCTCTAAACCCAAGAATTACTAATAGTCCTGAATCTTCAGGAAGTCTATCAAGTTGAAAATAAAAGTAAAACTCAATATTTAAGGAGTTTCTAATTGGAAATTGGCCTGGAATTGGAATGGTCATATTGATTTTAAGAGGCCTTTTAATCTCTGTTTTTAATCCATCTATAAAGCAGTCTCTTCCAGAATATTTAATAATTCTAAAAAGCAAATCCTTTAATTGATAAGATTAATACTTAAAGAACACTCAATTACATACAATTAAATGTAAAATTGTTGTTAATGATTAGAAATGCTAAAAGAAGAGGAAAAACTACTTGTGTATAAACAGAAAATTCAGGAAAAGTTCACGCAGAGATGAGACTTAAGACAGAACTTGAAGGATGAGTAAAATTGCAGTAGATAGGCAAAAAGAAGAGAGGAAGTTGATAGACTGTATGAACAAAGGTATGGCTCTAAGAATGAGCACGATACAAATTGAAGACAGGACACTAATGTGGTTAATGCACAATCAGATGGTAACAATAAGGGAAATGCCATAGTATCAGATAATGTAAGGCTTCGAAACTGAGGAAGAAAAGTTGAGAATCAATGTCACTTTTAAGTCAAAAGTGATATAATAAAGTCAGGCTTCAAGTTACTATTTGCTTGAACTCAAATCCTTCCAGAGACAAAAATGGTCAGTGAAAATTATAGCAAAATAAGTAGGAAGTGTTAGTCACACTAAAGGCTGAGGAGGAGTTACATAGCACAAAATATTCAACTTTTTTCACTTTTAAATTCTAACCTCCAGAGAAATAAGAATGTCACCAGGTATCTTCTTAGCTGTTAACTTTTTTTTATACAGTTCTTTATACTGCTTCACTTTTTGTCTATGATCACTAATATGCTTCCATGACCACATCCGTAAGCTGGGACGAACTTTTACTTCAAGAACACCATTTATAGCATAAGACCACCTAGTTTAAAAAAAAAAAAAAAAAAAAAATAAAAAGTCCTAAAAGTATTTATGTTTCCAAGGCCCTGTTTTTACCCAAATTGTTACTGCAACATTTTTCTACTCTTTTTGATTATAAGAACTTTGAAACAGACATTTAAAATATATATACACGGTC